TTTTTTTAAATCTTGATTTTGATTTTTCAGATTTGATTTCTGTTGGTAAACTATTAAACAATTTTATACCCTTATAGTATAACGCATTTTGGGGACAAGCCTTAGTCGCATTTATTAACATTCACATTATATTTTATTTTATTAGTCAAGTACGGAGGAGCTAACCCATGGGTAATATTGTAAATTAATATTAACGTTCTAAAAATGACTAATTGATTTAAACTCATCAAACATAAAGTTTCTAACATCACATGTCTATTTGTACTTCTTTGCAGATAAGATTAATTTTTCATATGAAGCCTTACTTTCCTCGATATCTTATTATTAATACAACTGGAATTAATTTTTTCTTTTTGTTTATTGAATAGATGTTTTTAAAGCAATTAGGTAGATAAGGTATTTATTTCTGTTTTTTCAGAAATTAAATTGGAAACGTCGAAACAAAATTAATTACTTAACAACTAACATTAAGCATATCATTTATTTTTGAGTCTGGCTGTCAGTTCACTGAGAATACTCATTTAACATGAGACGTAACTGATGACGTACGTGTTTAGTAATGTTAGGAAAATTGGCTTCATTACAGGTTGTTGTTCTTTTTTTATATTTATGCCTATATATCTTTTCACAGTTATTTCCTTGTATAGGTACCATGATAAATCTATTTCTTTTTGTTCATTGTAGTAATGTATCAGTGTTATATGTGTCCTTATAAAATAGGAAATATTTAAAATTTGAACGTAATTAAATAACAGATAATATAAACAATAATATCATATACAAAATCAAAAACTTCTTTCATCTTGGTGTTAGCAGATATTACACATTGTTCAAAAATTAGAAATGAATAGCAATCTATCAGGGAAAGGCTTTTTAGGGCTCCGTACGTCCGAATAGAAAACGGAACCCTTATAGAATCACTGGTGTGTCTTTCTGTCCGTCTGTCACAGTCAATTTGTTCCGAATTTACTGACCCAATGAAGTTGAAATTTGGTGCTCAAATGAATTTCTGTGACCCAAACAAGGGGGTCATTTTTCGAGAGGCTAATAGGAAATTAAAAAGGAAGTATTGCAAAAAGTACCATGTGACGTTTTAAATGAAACGGGTTTGCTGTAAGGGTCTCAAATATATTTTTTATAGATAAATTAAATTGTTGTAAATACAGTGCATGGTCATACTGACAGTTTAGTAATTAAATACAGTGTAAACTCTATATAACGACACTTAAGGGACTGAACATTTTTCGGCGTTATAAAGAGTGGTCGTTAAATGAAGAGAAATAAAAGATATTATTTTACTATTCTATAATAATATGCATTTACCAATANTAACATATACGATACATACAGAAGTAGGTTTCACTGCAACATAATGATGCCAAATCTAGTCAGACCTGCTTTGTTTTAAAAAAATTTTAAACGTCAAAGCACTCACATTGAGAAAATAAAACTGTACACACTAGTGGCGAATTGAGACCCGAACATATAGATATACTATCACATGCAATCCTCAAAGAACGACAACATCTTTTAAAAAATACGAAGTGGTACAGGCAAATTCGTAAAAATACCTTCAGCCACTTTTCCATGTCAATAATAAATAAATAAAATGCCATTTAAGGCCTTAGAACAGTCTTCAGAGAAGCAGGTGATATATTCAGTTAGAAGTGGTTGACAGAAATGTATCTCCCACGTCTATTAAATTATTTTTCACTCGTGCGACATGTGTAATTTCTGTATTCCGTAAGACACTGCACATGCTGGTGTGGTACAAACTCACTTTGTTCCGAACAGAAATCATACAGATAAGGTAAAATATTTACAGAACATGTTGTACGAGCGAAAATGCATAATTTTGTGAACGTGTGGAATGTATGCTTTCAGCCACGTCTGTCTGAAAATATCACCTGCTTTTCTGAAAACTGTCCTAAAGTAACCGAGCTCTCAAAATCTTGTGAACAAAACGTAACACCGTCCAAAATCCTTAACTTACATTTATTGGATTTTATTGTTTACATGAGATGGAGATGTTTATTATAATAAATAATTAGGGTTCCATACGCCCGAATGAAAAACAGAACCCTTATAGGATCACTCGTGTGTCTGTCTGTTCGTCTCTCGCAGTCAATTTGTCTAGTTAAAGTTTAGTACACATATAAGTTTCTGTGACCCAAACCAAATAAATTAATTTTAAAGATGGGATCATTTGTGGGTGGGGCAATGGAAAATAAAAAAAGAGTTTTGTAAACTGTAACGTGTAACATATCAAATGAGAGGGCTTGTTGTAAGGGTGTCAAATATTTTTTTTTATAATTTTAAAATAAATAGTTATAAAGTTATTTAAGAAAATAGTTGAAATTTGACCATTCCCCTTCCTTATCTCCAAAACTATTGAACCTTAAATTAAAAAAAAAACACAAAAGATAGTTCTTTTCATATAGATTACAGAAAAATTAATAAGAAGTCTATGGTCTGAACATAACGTGGTAAAATCATTCAACAGCAATATTGTGAGTACATTCGTGTGCCTGTGTCCGGTTTTTTTTTAAATTAGCTTTTAGTGGGTAAAAATATTACACAAGAAAAAAATAGGAACCAATGACATTCATACAGCATTTCAACAAATAATCAGTTAATCGTGTTCAAGTTATAAAGCAAGTGTATTGTTAATTATGTTTCATTCCGTTTAAACATTCAATAACGCATATTTTGCATGCATTTAGAAGAATAAAGTAAAATGAATACTAGTATATGTTATGCCGATTAAAAATTATTGGGGATTCTACGACAAAAACTGCCAGCGACAAAATGTACCCATTAATGATAATAAATACAATGTAGACTGTAGAAAAATTACTGACTTACAAATTAAAAGTAATAAATGCACTTACTTAATGAATGTACTTCGCAAAAGATACGACAGTCGATAGGAAAAGGTAATTGAGCGATATGGACGCGATGGAAACATCAGTTTGTGTTTAATAGCCCTTTCGTATTTACAGAAAATTTTAAATATTAAAAGTGCTGTAAGTGGAGACTGCTTAAATGATTATTCAAGAAAAAAATACAACGTGTAATTATACAACACGCTACTGAAGTAAAACTTCTTCAAACACACAAACATATCAGGATAGGGGTTAAGGAATTCGTTTAATGGTATCTTTTGGACATGAATTTAAATTTTACACTATACATGCCGGAGTTGCCTGTAACGAACATTGCATTGAAGCGCGCTCACGGCTCAAGCGATCCCCACTACGAACTCTACTACGTGGCCAAGTAGAGAGGGACATCCGTCGCATGATTTCGTTACATAGTGTTGGATTCAGACTTATAATACAATATACGTCATACATGTTACTTAATGTACAAAAATTGTATTCCCTTATTGTTTAGTCAAAGGAGAAAATTTATTGTATATCGACAGGATCAGCGTCAATTTGTGGCGACGCAGTATGTTTAAGAACAACTGTTATCGAATACTTTCCTGCGTGCTACATTAATTATGTTTTTGTAAAACACACAAAATGTAGTTAGTTGCTTTCGAACTCTTTAACATATCAGACGAAAGAAAAATATAATTTTGAGTTTACACATTTAACTTGTGTTTTTACTTCTGCTTAACCCAATACATACCAACTCGCATGAAACGAACTTACCCTACCGTGCGTAATGAAGTTTCCCTTCAAAAAAAATAAATATTGGTAAATAAAAGTGGTACGTTTTGTCGCATCCAAAATATTATACGTTTTGTCACTGGTACGTTCTGTCGTGTATTCAGAATTTTGCTTTTATATTTTATTTTATTCTTATACTATAGGTACAGTTTTTTTTACCTGCCGTTAAAAAACTTGTCGAACTTGAATCTATTAAAAAAGTGATAATTAATGAAAAGAAAGAGAATTATTTTTAAGTAGTTTTATATCTAATAATGCCAATAAATTCACTATATTTATGACTTAATATATATACCAGGTGTATTTTCTATTTGTTTTTACGCTTGATATATATGTGGCTGGTGGTAGACGATATAAAAAATGTATTGCTCGTACCTATCACATCATATAGCAAACGATAGTTCATCGAATAAGTCAGGTGGAATTTCATTAACTCCTATAAAACGGCCTTTACCTTGACTGACCTGCTTTCGCTCTCTATTGAGCATGGTCGATATGTATCACATTTGTTCTCTTGAAAACACTCGTTCAATTTTACGTGCACATTTCTACATACATATTTACTTAACTAATACAAACTAAAACAGTCTGCACAGGTATTATCATATGGTGAACGTTTCAAATTATATATGCAATGACTAAATAAAAATAAAATGGTTAATTCGCCATTTAAATGTAACGGTTTTACGATTTTTAGCCCAACGAAGGCTGATATAAAATGTATATAAACGTTAGGGCCTAAACTCAAGAAGCAGTAAAAGTAAACCACAGTCTACAGTAAGCAGTTTACAATTTAAGTACCATGAGTCCTCTTGTAAGTTACCATTTTAAAAAATTAACCGTATCAATAGACGAGCATTTAGTTTTTCCTTTATAAATCATTTTTATTGATGAAACAACGCAGTTTTAATCATTTAACACCAAAATACACTCGTTAGCTATTTTGGTATTATCAAGAAATGATTAAAAGTTAGTTGAATAAAACTCCGTTGTTTGCTTTTTTACACCCTAAGTGTCACAATCTAATTCACATTTCTTTTGATCATCATCATCATCATAAGGTCGCCAGTCCTAACACTGGTTGGACACGTACCTCCACTCTTTCCTATCCTGAGCTAAACTTCGCATTTCCCTAAAACTAGAACAACCCACATCCTTAACTATTTACGAACAGTAATCTAATCTAGGTCTACCTCTACGCCTCCTAACTCCTGTTTCTGCCTCTAATATGTATCTGACTAGACCTTCATGCCTGAGAAGGTGTCCTACCAACCTATCTCGCCTATTTCTTATTGACTTCCATAGAGTCCTCTGTTCTCCTATTCTTTCCAATACCTCTTCATTTCTAACCTTTTCTACCCACGATATCCTCATCATCCGCCTATAACACCACATTTCGAACGCTTCTAACCTTTTCTTTTCCGCCGCGCCCACTGTCCATGTTTCACACCCGTACAATGCCGTGCTCCAAACATATACCTTTAACAACCTTTTTCGAATTTCTAAATTAACCTTTCGCGAGCATAGAAGTAACTTCTTTTTATTAAAGGCGACACGACATAAATTGGACAATTATTGCAACATAATAATCCACTGTACCTGTATTTTAATTTGCAGCTCCCAGTTGTTGTGTTCGCTGCTTTAACAGCCTCTAGCGCCAGCTTAATAGGCGGTCACATCGGAGGACATGCCACGTTAGTAGGTCCAGGACACAGCGGCGTGCTGTTGAAAGGACCAGCACTGCAGGCGTCACTTGTGGGCTCTGATGGAAGCCATATCTCCGCTGTAGCTGATGCAGGGGCCCTTCAAGCTGCTCCACGGCACGGGGGTGTTGTAACTGCTGCTGTTTCACCAGGTATTTTTATATGCACATTTACTTTTAGAGTAGAACCTCGGTAATCTGTAAGTAATCTCAAAACCCATGAAGAGGTTTAAAAATTGATTAATATTCATATAAGGCTTTAATTTTGATTCAGTAATACAGTTAGGACGTTCGAAATTGACATAGTCCACAATAAAACTGGTACATTTACTTTCATTTTTCAACTTACTAATTAGACTAGAGCAGTTGCTGACCAAACGCCTATTTTTACTTACGACAGACGTAAAAAATATCGTGAACGTAGGAAAGAGATGTCAGGGAGGAATTGCAGCGGACACTAATAAAGAAAAAGGAATAGCATTACACCGATTAATGTGTAACTAAAAGAGATGCAGACATAGAATTTGAGTATGTTGCCAGCATCGAACTTTAAAGAAAGTTTCAACATTTTCAGGAATTTAGGAAAGCAAAGACGTTTGTTTAAAGATATAATTCCAATAGGCACTCATAAAGCCGACCCTGATTTTTTGCGTACCTAAGCAACCTCTAACATCTGCACAGCTTATTATTGTTTGGTTATCCCTTTTCATTTTTTTTTTACTACTCATGAAGCACTTCCCATCATAATAATATAAATGACTAAAAAAACATTTGAATATCTTGTATTTGAAAAGATCGAGTTCGGCTACTCATTTACGAGCTTGAACTATTTGAACCAAACTTTCAAGTTGGGTTATTATCTGAATCTACTGGAATTGACTGGGTGCCCAACCCAATCGAGTGGGACCCTGCGCCCCTGGTCCCAACTATGCATTGAGGCAATGTATCTACGATTATATATTAAAGTAATTAGTAATTTACCAATCCTACAAAATAACATTGTTTGAGTTTTAATACCCCATGATTTGGTTTTTGGCATCAGGAATTATTATAATATATTAATTTTTTGGCTTGAGATTTCCTTTTTCTAAAAACAATTTCAAAATATATTTTATACGTTCACGGGGATTATGAAATATAACTAATTTATCGAGTTNAACTAATCACTTCGTTACTCTTATTGTTATATAAGTTACAGATACCACTATTTATCATATTTCATGTTTTATAATTTTGTTTCCAAAATTAAGAAATTTGTAATTTACCAATCCTACAAAATAACATTGTTTGAGTTTTAATACCCCATGATTTGGTTTTTGGCATCAGGAATTATTATAATATATTAATTTTTTGGCTTGAGATTTCCTTTTTCTAAAAACAATTTCAAAATATATTTTATACGTTCACGGGGATTATGAAATATAACTAATTTATCGAGTTTATTAGTTATTTTTAATTGAAACTAGCAAAAACTAAAAGTACTTCTTTATTTCAGGAATAATATGTAATACAGAGATTATGCTATATTTAAGTGCAACGATAATATTACAAGTAAATTTCAGTTAAAAATTTAATACCTTCTAGACACTCCACCATACCCAAATTTTTAATTAATTTCATCTAATATTTCTTTAAACATTTTAGGGCACATTGGAATTGCAGGCCCAGTAGTACACGCCGCTCCTGTGTTACACGCAGCTCCGATATTGCCTGCCGCCCCCATAATACATGCCGCCCCTGTTCTTCCAGCGGTTGCGCCTGTCGTTCACGGTCACGCTCGTGTTGGAACTATCATTGATGGACCATCAGGTACCATTAAAACATCCGGAAATGCTAACGGTGCCATTTTAGCGCCCGTCGGTCACGCGATCGGTGTTGCCCATCACGGAGCAGTTATTGGTGGACATAGTCATGGATGGGGACATCATTAAGGGTCAATTGAAATCCTAGACGTTCTTCTTGATTGAATATGTTTATTTTGTCGTTTGTTTTTGTGCTGCTACATTTTTTATTTTTATTAGTTGCGGTTTTCTGGATTTGTCTGATTTTTTCCAATTGTAAATTATGAATTTTAATTAAAAGATACTGCAATCAAGTAAGCTTTTTCTTAAATTAAAAAGGAAATAAAACTACACTATAAAAAGAGATCAATCGTTTTCGTGATATAAAAAGAGAATTCGTTTAAAAATAATTTAAATTGAGTTAGAAGAAAACAAAAGGAATAGAAGGGTGTGCCCTTCAAAATTACAAAAAGTTTGTCACGCATAAAAACATAATAAAGCGTATTATAGTACGTTCATGCATATGGAATACGTTCATTCACAATTATACAGTAATTAGGTGTTAACGCTGAGTCATTTACCAATAAATACGTTATAACTACTTCCTTGCGTAGTAACGTTATTAACTAAATAAATCACTTATTATAAGAACAAATTTTATAAGAAGGGACTTTTTATAACCTGGTGTTATGTAATACATCATTCCAAAAATATCTTTCCCCAAAAAACGTTTTAAAGAAAAAGATAACAAGGAGGTAGGTAACAATAATTTCATGCTGGTGGAAAAAAATTTGTTTACATATTTTTTATAATAAATTTCAAATCGGAAATCTACATCACAACTTTCAGAAAGCATTAAGGTGTAATGAAGAAGCGATTACACATTTTTACAGTTCATTACATAAGACATAAAGAAACATTAAACAACCTTTAATAATTACTAGAAGTTCAACTGTTTTCGAAGAACTATAGTATACTTACACAAAAATGTACTTACTTCAACTAATTATCCTAACAATGTTTTAGTCGGTAATATATATGTAAGAACGTATCTACCGAAATAAAACTAAATACCAACAAACACCAACACTAACTGAAATCGATCAAATAGTTGTTGTGAGGATGAAATAGGTTTTTAAATAAAATCCTTTCGGTTTAGAATGCAGTAACCTTCATCATGACTGTCGGCTTCCCTTGAATGGTGCCCGCTTTTCGTAACAAAAATATTTTCGCACGAAGTGAAAGCAACAACAACAATTAAAGCTCTTGTACATTTTGTTACGTTCCTATTTGTTTCAGTGGAGCACTTTTCGTATATAAAAACTGCACCACTCATTTAAAATCATCAGTTCACTTTTGTAACTACCACAACAACCACATTCAATATGAACACCTTTGTAAGTATTCAAATATTAATTTTTTACATTTAATATATCTATTAAATAATAATATGTTGATATAGCTTCAATAATTGAATTAAATGTAGGATTAAATTTTTGAATAAATATCACACTTATTAGTTAGTAAATTTTTTTTACATTTAATCTATTTGATAGGTTGCTGTATTCTGCGTTGCCCTCTCTGTGGCTAATGCTTCCCTCTGGGCTGGTCATGGTGCCACCCTTGTGGGACCAGGAACTCATGGTGCTCTCTTGAAAGGACCAGCTGCAGCTGCCACTTTAGTTGGACCTGATGGCAGTCATATCAGTGGTCATGCTGATGCTGGTGCAGTTGAAGCAGCCCCGCTCCACGGTGGTGCCATCACTGCTTCCGTAGCTCCAGGGTACATCGCCCACGCTGCTCCAGTCTACCATGCCCCCGTTTATGCCCACGCTGCTCCAATTGTTCCAGTCGTACCTCACGTTGCCCCAGTGGTTGCACACAAAACTGGCACCCTCATCGACGGGCCCTCTGGCACCATCCACACATCTGGATCCGCTCATGGTCTTATCGCAGCCACCGTTGAACATGGTCATGGTCATTACGGATGGTAAATCTGGACTAACAGCGTAGCGTTATTCTGGAATTACTTGCTCAGCTACCATAAAGTATTATATGTACTTGGGCACTTGTACATAATAAATGAATAAATTGATATATTGATATTATACATCTTTTTCGTTTTACTTAACTATTCGCATGGTACCTTCTGGTATAGCAAAAGTATTGATTAAAATGTCAAACCCAATTAAACCTTTCGGTGTTATAAAAACCGAAAACAAGCTTGTGTTGAAAAAAATTGCCAAATAAGAAAACAATTTTTCAAATTTTAAACAATGTTAAAAATGCGCCAACATGATTTACATTCCTATCATTATTAAGTAAGATATTTCCATAGTTATAAGAAAAATCCTGAGTAGCCGTATGTGTTATCAAAATGACGAAGGGTAATAAACGAAATGCTTCAAATCATCATCATCGTTATCAGTCTACGAGGAAAACCGTAAAAAATTTTATTAAAAATTTCATGTCAATGGGAGAAAACAGTCAGTAGTCAAAATTTTAAAAGTTAATATCTTTCAAGACCATTTTGGATTAATTCTAATCTTTCTCTTAGACTATTTTGATTAATCAAATCAATCTTAATTCAAGTATATTTTCACTGAAGATACCAACACATTGAAAGACTGCGAAACGTCTAGAGCAGAAAAATTGCATAGACCTCGACAGAAAAAAAAAATTATTAAAACCAATTTGTGGAATATCCAAAGTATTTTAAGTCACCCACGCGTTCCGTTTGGATATAGTTTGTTTTCTTTATTATTCTTTCTCCTGGACTATTTTGATTAATCAATCTTAATTCAAGTATGTTATCACTAAAGATACCAACACACTGAAAGACTGCGAAACATCTAGAACAGAAAAAATGCTAAACCTCCACAAAAAAGATCTGTTTCTTTATTATTCTTTCTCCTAGACTATTTTGATTAATCAATCTTAATTCAAGTATGTTATCACCGAAGATATCACCACACCGAAGGACTGCGAAACGTTTGGAGCAGAAAAATTGCATAGACCTCGACAGAAAAAAAAAATTATTAAAACCAATTTGTGGAATATCCAAAGTATTTTAAGTCACCCACGTCTTCCATTAGGATGTAGTTGAATGTAGTCTATTTTTTTATTAATTATTCAGAACAATATATGTGTAGGTACACGTCGTAATTAAATATAGAACAAATACAGATAATCATAGACCGTTACTCAAACTAAATTTAATTTCTTTGAGTGATTTATTGATGCATGAAGGTCAAGTGACGTTGGCATTGGTCCCTACGTTAACCAGCAAAAGACGGATGTACGATTCTAAAATGTATCATGCGAAGTGAACGTACATTCATACATAATACGACAAATCTGCTGATACATTTTGTCACATCCGCTACTGGGATTTTTCTAAATCCTACATGTACGTACATACATACATACATACATATAAAAACAGTAACCGAAAATAAGAAGTAATCATTTGTTTCGCACTTGTTCGGTACTGTCGATTGACCCAAAGAAATATGAAGTGTTTGGTAAGTTTCACCCTCCAACAATATCATTTTGTAAAGTAAGAAAAATCTATTAGCATTATGCGTCTCGTAATACTTAAATCTGCAATACATTGATTAAAAAAAGTATTTAAACTAGTAAGATTTTTTTTCTCTAATTAATAATGACTGCCCGCCACGCAATCTAAGTTTATCGTTCCAATAAATAATTTTTTTGTCAGTTGCCCGAAGGATCCATTCTATTTTTAATATATATGTAATTATATGCTCTTTACTCTTCAAATGTATCGATATTTCTAATTATTATTATTAATAACCCAATTAAATACTAACACTGGTAATGCTTGTTTACTGTTTCTTTAAGCAATCCATTCGCTTGTATGAATGCTTTTTTACTGTTTAAAGCATAATATAATATTTATAAGTAAGTTCAAGTCGTATTAAAACAGTATAATTCAAATGAATTCCAATTAATGAGTGTTATACTGTCGTATATAAATGAGAAAATAATAAGGACTTCAACTATTGATATCTACAAATATTCAATTTGGACGCGAAAGATGCGCCTTTTATTGACGACCTTGATAAAGTCCCGCACAATAAAGCGCAACATCAGTGTTGATTTATTAAATAAACTCATGTTTGCCTCCAGCTTGGCTTACATTTTAACACTAAATTGTACGTAATGATAAAATTTAACAGAATGTAAACCTTGTAATTATACCTTCTTTGAACTGTTTAATTATTCTTTTTTTTTATTTTTTAACAGGTCGCATTAATCTTCTGCACTGTCTTCTCTTTGCCAGAAGCTTCATATTTGTCAAGTCATGCTTCCGTATCAGTAGGTCCTACAACAAATGGAGCTATTGTAAAAGGTCCAGCGTCGGCAAGTGCCATTGTCGGACCCGACGGAAGTCGTATCACCTCTGCAGCTGATTCTGGAAGCATTTCCGTGGGTACTACCCAAGGTGGAGCTATTTCCAGAGCTCACAATTTAGGATACGTTCCTCGTAAACCAGTGTATGCCTCGTATGCATCAAACACACCCCATTTTACCTCTTATGTAGCCTCCATCCCACCCTTTGGTTCGTATACTTCACACATTACTCCTTATACTATACACGATCCTGAAGGACACCTCCTTACGCCTCTTCCATACGCCTTTGCGACTCCACTTGTGAAATCTGGCACAGTTATTAGCGGACCTTCTGGTACCATTAAAACATCTGGTTCTGCACATGGATACATCGCAAAGATACCATATCAAAGCCACTACGTGTGGTAACCAAAGGAACTTCCCTATTAATTAATTTTCTAGTGAATATTTTAGTGTAATAAATTGTATTGTTAACTATGTATTGCCAAAGTACTTCTAATTAAACTATTTAATATTGTCTACTCAATACCATTTCTTCTCATTTAATTGTTGTATGCAGAAATCAGAACTGATAGGGTGCATACGGTTTTCTCTTGATTAGGAAACTCTGGGGAGAAACGTCTGTATGGTTTTGTTATGAAAAAAGAACCTTATTTCTATCAGCTCTGATTTCTGCAAAGTACCTACTTGAAAGTTGCAATTTATCTTAAGAATACCTGCGGGTCATCACCGACTTCTTTAGAGAAATAAAGGTTATAGGTTCTTTTTGAAAAACTGACCTTCCAACCAGAAATCAAAATGATGACATTTGGCTAAAATAAAAATAAATCTTACTTTTTATGAAATTAAAAAGAATACGTTTTCGATAAAACAAGGTAAAATATGACAAAAAGTAAGCAACTTTAAGCTTTGATTTCTCTGTGAATTTTCATCGTAAAAAAACGAATAACAAAAAAGAATGTAGGTTTTTTCAAGGACTATCTTTCCTCTGAGCATTTATGTATACCTAAATTGTCTAGGAAAAAAGTTATAGACAATTTAATTAAAAAAAAAAAACGGCGATTTT